AGATTGCATCTAGTACTCTCCTTTAGAACTAATCCATTAAAAACTGCTTCAGTATTGTCATGGTCCACTTGGTGGACTTGTGATGGTTCGTTTGCTATGATCTCGAAAGTGCAAAATTAAGGTGACCAAAACAGCAAAGGGGATAGCAGTAATCAGTGAAACTTGATTGTGTTGCCCGTGAAGCGGCACATCATAATTAGAGATGGGTGAAAGAAAGGAGAAAAGTAAAGTAAAGTTTAGAGAGAGGAGGGAGTGAGGTTATAGCTATCACTGCTGATCTCATGACATGCTAACAGTCCCGGGTGCAGCTGATGCTGCATCGTCAATCGTAATAGTCCTTGGTGGGGAAGCCTCCAATTTTCGTTGTCCAGAAGTCATCCTTTTGTAGCACACCTTGCTTCACCTCTGCCTCAGGGGTCTCCGCCCTTCTCAGAATTCAGTTGTCATATCTCCTTCTCAAGCGAGGCTATTGCAGATATGCAGGGGGGAGTGTCCGAGGCGTGGTCAGTCTTGGAGGCCGGTAGCCTTCCACCAGGAGGTGTGTTTTGCTATTATAATGAAGCAAAGTTCGTCTAAGGTTCATGATTTTCTGACAGTGGCTATGCGATTATCTCTTAACAGCTCTGGCTGGGCCCAGGTACCGAACAATAGCACAGCACTCTTTGTACTGCACGTCTCAGGCACCAAAGAACAGCACTGCACTGCCTGCACCACACGGGTCAGTGCTCAGGAGAACAGCACAGCACTCGCTGTGCCACACAGTTCTGCATTCTGGAACCATTGTACCACATTCCACTCCAGGGATCGGCAACTGTTCCAAGCAGGCCATTGTTGGGTATCTCACTGTCCATGTCCCTGATGACAATGTTCAGACAATGCTGATCTTCTGACCAACTTACAAGTATCCCCCTGTGAACTGCAATTTTTCCTAAATATACAAGAACACAAAAGAAAATACATCTAAAATGATATTTATATTGTTTCATAAATATCTAGCTAATGGAATATAAATGGTAATACTATGCTAAATTGTTACACAGAAGACAAAACTTTACATTTCCTCAAAGAAACATTTTCTTTTTTTTTTTTTTTCTTTTTACCAATATTTTAATTTTAGCTTGCCTGATCAGAAAAGGAAAGGTAGTTTTTGCAGAACTATTTCGGTAGGTTTTGTGGCATATTAGGTGAATTCTGGATTTACTTTTTTCACTTCAGGAAAATAAAAATCTGCATCTCTGAATATGCTTTATGAGCTTTAAAAAAAGTAATGTATACAATTGTTTACATAACTAATTTCTATATTAGTGGTTTTCCATATTTTTTCACCATAACTTTTTTTTTTTTTTTAACTCTTGAGCAAATCACAAGTTAAAAATTATGACAATTATAAATTAAAAGGAAAGTGACTATTAGTTCAGTTTACCAAAACTGAGAAACCCCTTTTCTCTTTCTCTCTTATTCTATTTTACATTTTTTACCTCTAAACTTTCTCACTCTTGTTCATTTCTTTGACCAAGTGACAAGTTTTTTTCATTTCATGTGAATTTTGGTTAATTTTGTCCCAGATTCCTTTGTCCACATAATAATTTTCAACCTAGCAAAAAAAATTTATTCTTATGAAAGCTAACACACCAGAGCAGGACAATCAACGTTAAAGCCATTCTAAAAAATTTTTTAAAATATAATCATTATATTTTTAAAAGTGCAAATTAAGCTTTAATCATGAAAGTAATAAAGATCAATATTCCCAAACAGTAAAATATTTTCATGTGTTACACTACTGTTGATCTCGACTATTAATGAACTCTTCTGCTGCAGGTTTCCTCAAAGTTGCAATGATCAGTGTGGAACACAATCAGTGAAATGGTTATAAAACCAGTTATCCCTAAAGATGTGTTGTGTGATGTTGTGATTGAATCCTGCCAGAGTGCACAATGTTGGAGAGAATGTTGAAGACATTCCTAACCCAGAAGAACATGCAAGAAGAAGTATGATTTCAGAAGAATCTGATGAATTAATGAAAATGGAGATGGAAGAGTCTCTAGTCTTTAAAAGCACAGACAGCAAGGATAGAACAAGTGCTGGTAGCCCTTTAAGGTTAGTACAATTTGCTTTTGATTTGTCTGAGACTAGAACTGAGATGTAGGAACTTAGAAGAAGCTATAAAAAACAAGGTGTCATGGGGCATATTAATGGTGTATTTTGCCACTTCCAAGAAGCTTTGGCTGTGAGATTCTCAACCTGAACCAGATTTTGTGTCTTACTCATTGTTGATGTAAAGAAAAGGTTGTGCACACAGTTCTGGTTCTCTCACCTAAAAATAGCTAGAGCAGAAATGGAAAACCTTCTGAGGACAGAAAGGAGGATCAAAATTAGGGAATAGCTTTTTCAAGAGAAATCAATACTTCAGCCTGGGAAAAAGATGACTTAAGGGAGAGACCATAAATGTCTACAAAACTATGAATCACACAGAGAGTCACCAAAAATTAGTTGTTCACTTTTTCTTCCAGTATGAATGCAAGAACCCTTTATAGAATACAGGAAACAGGTGTAAATAAAAACCAGAGGTGACAGTTCCTTATGAAGTAGATAGTAACTGTATGTCACAGATGAAAAATGATTGTGCATAGTAGATGTTTACATTACTCTCCAGGGAGAATGGAAAACTATTTGAAAGAGAAATATTAATGAAATGCAGAAACTCTCTCTGTATTGGGAAATCCCAGAGTGAGAATAGCTCAAAATTAGTAGAGTAGTTGAAAGGGGACTTTATATACAAGTGCACTGTTTTCACTCTTCCCAAGGCAGACATTTATTGGCAATGCTAGAAAACAGATATTGGGCTAGTTAGTCCCTTTTCTGCTTCAGTTTTATGTTCTTACAATGTGTAAAGGGAGAAAAAGGAAGGGGCACAATAAACCAGGAAAACTGTAATAGTATTGTCATCTCATTAGATGTGTAGGAGTACACAAGAACAGAGCTGTAGGTGGGAAGAAGCAGTGTTGTGACAAGCCTTAAAAGTGAGGACAAAAGATTAGAACTTTTCTGCTAAGAGAAACCAGGAATTGGCTGTAAAATAGAAATAAATAAATAAAATAATTCAGTAGTGTGGCAAGAATATACTTTTGACAACAGCAAGTTTGATGTATTGAAAAAGAGGAAATTGGGATGCAGAGGAGGATTGCATCAAGTGCACTATATCACACACATGAGGTTATAGGTTTTTGTAAGAAAAGACTGAGACCTTGAGGTGAGCTGCTACTAATCATGCTACTTCCTGTTAAGGATACTAAGTACTGAAATCAGAGAGGCATTTTTTTTGTGTTACAACTAGACTGCTACACCTGGGAACACAATGTGTTGGATTTTGGTTTCATAATACAGTAAGGTCCTGCTAGATTTGCATGTAATACTGGAATAACAACCTGTAATGAAGATGAAATCACACCTGCTGGTTTCTTTCTGATGAAGAAAATAGGAAATGCATAGAAATACTTAATGAAAGAGAACAAACGTGAAATGGCACTGATATACCTTGGTTTTGACATTTCACTTTCTCTAATTTCAGAGATTTGTTCATCAGGATCTCTGTTACGCAAGAGAAGCTAGAAATATGGGAGAATGCCTATAAGAAAGATTTGGAGAAAAAAAAAAAGTAAGTAGACTCACATATCTTACTCTAGTGTTATGATATGTTGAGAATTAATACTGTCTCCAAAACTGATTTTCGGTTATGGAATTTTTTTTGCTGAAGAGAAAAATTTAGTAGTCTCAGAGTTAAGCTTTGAATGTACATATACAACACGAGTTCTAATAGTTCTATTTTTGGCAAGCTTAAATTTCCAACCTCTGGGGAGAAAAAAAAAAAAAAAAAAAGCAGCGCAAATTTTCATGCTTTGATATTGGTGGCAATTAAAAACTTGACTACCAAAACTGAATTTAAAACTTATATGGCTTCCAATAATGTTCCATAATTGACCTTCACTTCTGTCTTGGGGCTTCTGTAGCTAAATAGCATTCAAAATGATGGAGACCATACATTTTTATTTTTTTTTTTTAAATACTTGTGTATGTATGTTTAGGAAGAGTTAGTGTCTACATGAAGTATAAACCAGGAAATTGTAGTCTAGTGTGTATAACTTTGTTAATTATTTAAACATAATTTAGAAAAAAAACCCCACATTCTTATTTTCTGGAGCTCTTTATTGTCTGTCTCTGTTTAAACTGCATATTAATGCAAAAGTCACTAAGGGCTTGGTTTGCAGGAAAAATAGCTTAAGGAAAGAAGTTATTTGTTTGTTTGTTTGTTTGTTTTTCCTGCAAATATTTTTAAAGATGTAAAGAGAGGCTAAATTTTTAGCTTGTTATGGCAGTTAGTCATCTGTTTTGACTGTTTAAACCTCTATAACACCTTTGTATGGCAATCATGCTCAACCAACTCGATAGCCTTGTATGATGGAATGACAAAGGCACAGAAGCAGATATTGTCCATCTTGACTTTAGGAATTTTTTCAGCATTGTCTCCTATAAGATCCTCATAGGCAAGCTGTTGAAGCATATGCTGGGTGAACAGAATCATTCTCACAGTGTTTTCTGATGTTCAGACAAAGTCTCGTGTTTAATTTGTGCTAATTGACTCTTGTTCTGATACTGGACACCACAGAAAAGAGCCTGGTTCTCTTTGATCCTTCTCTTCAGGTATACACATTGATGAGATCCCTTCTGACTCCTCTCTTTCCTGGGTTAAACAGGCCCAGCTTCCTCAGCCTTACCTTGTAGGGGAGGTGCTACAGTCCCTTCATCATCTTGGTGGCCCTTTGTCTGACTCTCTCTAGTATGCCTGTGTCCCTCATACTGTGGAACCCAGAACTGGACACAGTACTCCAGGTGTGGCCTCACCAGTGCTGAGTAAAACAGAACGACCACCATCTTTGACCTCTTGTCAGCTTCTCTCCTAATGCAGCACAGGACACTCTTAGTCTTCTTAGCAGGAAGGGCACACTGCTGGCTTCCCCTGACCTTAGTGTTCACATAGGTGTCCTCCTTACAACTCCCCCTCCTTCTCCCGGGTTGCCCTTCTTAAATATGTTATCACAGAGGCGCAGCCACCATTGATAATTGGCTCAGCATTGGCCAGAGGTGGGCCCAACTGGGAGCTAGGGGATCCTTGAGAAGCTTCTCACAGCGTGCCACAACTATAGCCCCCTCCCCCACTATGGAAAACCCTCTCCACACACAAAACCCAGCACAACAAGAATATATACTTCTTGATAAAGCAATAATAAAATGTGGAATCTGTTCAGTAAAACTAGCAATTCCTTCAGTGGCTGGGTTTGTTGCATTTAAGGTGATGAATTAATTTTCTAAGAGATGAATCCCCTTGTGTTCTAGCCAGTCCTCAGAGATTAGAGGATCTAGGGGTGGTTGGATTTACCTCTTAATACGTATGCCAATTGGAGCTCTAACTATAGGCCTGACACCAGATGCACGAACAGCCTGTATGCTCTGGGGCAGGTTGCATTCAAGAGAAGAAGTCAGAGTCACGAGTAGTGTGGTTTATTTTTACGCAATATCTACAGATTCTTTGAGATTGCCTACGATAAATGCACAAACTGCAGGTTGGCTATATAGCACTACACAAAAGAAAAAACAATTGCAATCACACACACAGTTCTTGCGTAATCACTCGATGTAGCCAAGGGCTCAAAGCTTACCAAAATGCGTCCCTTCTAGGGGGAGTGAGGAGCAAAAACATGTCGATCTGTTCCTCCAATTTGGTGTCAGATTATCATCCCTCCAAATTAGACACAAACTCAGGATAGTATTTATCTTAGTATGTATGTGTGAGTGAGTGGGACTGTGGTCAAGGCATTATCTTTTGAGTAACAACACAGTACATTCCTTGGTGTGAAGATGCACTGTTTTTTTGTGGGAAAAGAGGGAGGATGAGAGAAAAGGTTGGCAGGCTACTGCAAAAACAGTCCCTTCAGATAAGTGAAAGAATGGGACCGTGCGGCCTACACCTCAATTTGCATTCCTCCTTGGCCCATGACAAACAAAAATCACCCGACCTACATCCTGTCGTTCTGGGCACACTATGTCAAGGAAATGTGTGTTTTACAGATTTTTCACTGTTTGGCTTTTCTCATGCTTCCAACACTTACTGAGAAGTAAACTGAAATACTGTTATCTGTATCTGGGTAAGACGTACAAATTCCTTGTAGTTGTTTCTTACATTTGATATTTTCTTTAATGCAGGACCAATTTTCCTCCAGATTGACAGTTTCCAGATCTCACTAAATTTGAAGATCATTTTCAGTATCTTGAATATCCAGCAAATTAGTAGTGCTTGTCAGTCATTTACCAGACTTTAAAATATTGAGTGCTGTTGTTTCAGAATAAGATAAAGTTGAAGACGGGTGCTGTCAGTCAGCTCTGAAGTATACAGCTGGAATAAAGTCAAGAGTGTTGGCAAAAACACTGTGACATCAAGATCTTCAGGGGAAACATGATTAGGTATTTGGGTTACTTTCCCAACCCAAAAAGGTTCTTAAGTGTGGATAAGAAAAGCAATAAAATACTTATTTAAGTCTTATATAGCCAATTATATGTGTTGAGATCTATTTACTTATATTTTTAATCCTCATATCCTGTGGACAGAATAAATTTTGAGGCCAGAGATACAGAAGATGGATTGAGGAAGAAAATCATTCACGTACGAGAAAATAGATTGGTAAACCTGGGAGAAGAGAGAGGATTAATTCCTGGCAAATTAACTAAAGGAAGGAGAGAGACATGTTGATGAGGAAGGAGAAGGTAGATCAAAACAGAGGAGGACTCTTGACTTGTTGGATCTCCAAGTTACTCACAATGACTTGGACAGAGGGTGGAATAATGGTGTCATGACATAAAGGCTTATCCAGCCTGAAGCTGTGTAGAGATTAAGACTGTAGGTTTGTAGGATTCCATAATACACAAGGACACAGAGGCTTTAGTCTTAAATATCTCTACTTACCACAAATACCAGAAAAATTACCACTAGCAAGTATATCTATGATTAATAAAGTGTATACAAGTATATATACATAAAGCTATTATAAATTGCTATCAGCAATCAATAATACAGCACCAATCACTAATATGGCAGCAGAATAATAGCAGCAATGAAATGTTCACATTTCCTCTAAACTCTGGATAAACAGAATGAACGATCTGGCCAGCTGCTCTGCACTACATATTAGAGTGTTAAAAAAAGGAACTATGGCGCACTTGAGGTGTGAAAATTATGAATAATTATAGAATGCATCTGGAAAATGTGATACAAAGGTTGAAGTAAAGTTCACTACAGGAGTAGCTGCATTTTGATAGAGTCAATTACATCTTTGTTTACCTGCTGTGTACATATAATATCCAAAATGGATTACATACAAAAGTGTTAAGATTTCAATGTCAACCACTCAAAAGCTGGCATATTCCTAAAAAAGAATCCCCATAACCTTAAAAAGACCACCTTATGTGACTGCTTTCTCGCATAGTTTTTAATTAAGAATTGCTTTTTTAAATAGGAAGCTTCTGGCATTGGGGCATGAACCTGCCAGTACCAGGACAGAGATGCCTTTAGTGCTACAGGCGTGTGCAGACACACACAGGCCATTGGCTCCATTCCAGTTCCCAGAAAGAAAGGCCTTCCACAGGCCCTGGGACATTTTGTTCTTTCTGCCTTTTCCCCTTTCCTTTTATTTCTCTTTCCTCTCCCATCTCACTCTCTGCCTCTGTTACCTTTGATCCTGATTGGGTTGTTAATCAGTTTTTCTCCTGCCTTTTTTCCTCTAGGGCTTCCTCCCTTCTTTTCTATTTGCATTTACACACCTACTGCCTTTGATTTGAATTCTCTTTTTGTTGCTCCTTAACCTTTGTTTCACCCACATCACCCTTGCTCTCTGTCTTTACCTTTACTGCTGTATGATTGATACTTCGCCTAGTTATTGTGGTTGTCCTGGAGGTCAAGTTATCACTGATAACAGTTTCCACCCTGTTGAAAACTAAAAAATGTGCTGTATGACTGTCTACAGTTTATGTCTGTGAAAGTGATAACAAATGTCACTGACATTTGACACAGCAGGGTCACTGACGCGCATGAAGGAACAGATCCCTCTACCCATTTCATCAACCTGTGAGTGTTGTTTGGTATGACAGGATTCCCTCCATATTTTATAGGCTCAAAAAGACAGTTCTCATGATGAAGAACCATGCCACAATGTGGGAAAGGGAGTAGGGTAGGGAGTGTGACCTCTTCTTTTTCCACAGTGACTCCAGTACCGGTAAAGCAATCTCTTGTAACATCACTGCTGTCTGTGGTGAAACTTTCCTGTCAGGTGGACAGATAATTTTTAAGAAATACTAGTAACTGCTGAGATATTATAGTGACACTTCTGATTTGGTTTAGCACCTTATTTTGTATCTTAATTTATTTTGGATATCTGGTCTGATATTAGATTTTTGCTTACAGCACTCTAAAAAGGTTGCCAGGTGACTTCAGTGTTTTCCTAATGACAACCTTGATCTCAAAAGGCAACTCACAGGAGTCACAGTAGTGGGAATTTGCCATGAGATTTTGCAATTTCTCCAGCAGTGAAAACTGCTGAAAGTGCTGGCTAGTGTTCCATTATAAGGTTGCCACGTCAAGTTTGCCCTTACTGACAGTGGCAAAAAGAGACAGTTTCAGTTTAATTTTTGTCTCCCACAGGTAAAACTTCAAAACTATATACAAAACTTGAAGTTTTTTTTTTTTTTTTTTTTTTTTTTGTTTGCATATAATGAAGTCACATTGTTGTTGTCTTTCTTCAAAAGCTCTACAGCATGTATGCATCTTGTCACTAATTTTTTACACCAATCTTGTGAGATTCTTCACTGGCACTGTAAAAATCTAATTTTCTCCTTACTGGTTCTTACTGTGTTATTGTGATCTCCTCTAAAAAGGCATTTCTCTCTTTAAGTTACCAGTTCAATTTTGTTATTGAATATTGCACAGCATCTTCATTGGGCTTCTCTGTGTTATATCATACCAGTCTCAGGTGACTGGTATGGACAAGAAGTTTATCCTCCCAAGAAGCTCTTATTAGCTCTTCCTTGCCTATGCTAATAAAGTCTATTTTGTGTTGTATCACCCTGTATACCTTTATACCCTGTACTAACTTACTGTGTTAATACCTTGCTATATTAAATAACACTTGTAGTAGGTCCATAAGACAGAAACTTTTTTTTTTTTAATTTAGTCCAAGAGGCCCAGATTTTTCTAAAGTGTTTATTTTGCCTGCTTATGGACATCCACTGTTTTTCCTTCAGAGATGGAAAATGGAAAAAAAATATGGAAGTTCAGTGAACTTTACTGCCTTCTATACAATTAAAAGATGGTAATATTTTCCTGTGAATTACCTTGGGTATTATCTGAAGAAACTGTTCCCCAAAACAGATGATGAAAGTCTGAAAATGCAAACTTTCTATTTCTGTTTCATTGTCCAGAGCCCTGTTAACTCATGAAACCTCTAAAATACTTTGCATGGAACAAACTTTCCAGAATATTCTGCTCATAGGTAGTGGAAACATTTTTGTCTTTTCATCCTTTTATTTAGCAATATTTTAGCATAATTAGAAGCCAAAGCTTCACTCATTTTTCCTCATTGCTTGCTTCCTTCACTTTCACTAGAGTGGCCAAGTAGCATAAAAGCCTTTTCTTCTTCTTCAACTTGTTCTATAATTCCCAGAGAAGAGAATCTGTCAAATTTCTCTTTTATCCCCTTCCTTAAGGTCAGAATAATTTTCATGGAGCAGAGGAATGGGCCCCTTTAGCTTTATTTTGTAATTTATTGACAGTTTCCCTTTTTCTGAGAACAATTACTCCTTGAACGTGCCTATAGTTGAGGAATCAGTCCTACCAGAGAAAGCAACCTCTTGCAAAAACTGCAGACATAACATGTTTTGAATCCAGTAATTGGTACTTTTCTTCACTGCTGTTATAAATTGCATACATGCTCTTCCTCAACCATTTCACACAATACTCCCTTTGGAAAGATATGTCTTTAAGCCTTGACTTTAACCTATTTTGTTCCTACTGCCTAGTTTTGGGTTTTTTTTCTTAGTACTAATGCACGGTTACAAATATAACTGTATTCACCTGTGCCAAACTTACTAGGCTCGCTGTTCTTCTTCAACACTACCTGTAGATTTTTTGAAGGGTTTCTCTGAACTAATAGGCTCTTGTTATCTGATTTGTCCATGCTGTTCATGCTCTGATGGGGATTGCAAAATGATACACTGCACTGTAGTTCTTTCATCTTTCCCCAAATACTGTGTATTTTCTTGTCTGGCAAATCATGTGCAGATCCATGTACTGTCATTTTGTGAACTCTGATTCTGAGCACTGCATGATATGTGTTTCTCATATATTTTCCTGCAGTATTTGGGCCCTCTAGGGTTGTTGTTTTTCCTAAGCAATAGCTTAGAAAAGGTGATGGTTTTGAATCTTTTCTTCTGGATGGTTTGCCAAAACTGAATTTTGTATTTTCTAGCAGACACACTTGAGATATTTAGTCTTAGATCCTAACTGGGTTTGTGTCTCTTGTCTGGGACTTAGCTCTGTAAAATTACACAACTGATTGGCCTCAGACCATTCACAGCCTTCTATGTTGTGTTGTTTCCTTCTTCGTGAGACTGCAGTGTTTCCTAAGTGTTGTTCAAGATTTCTCTACTTGTCCCTATATTACTGGGTGCAACTCAAAGGAGCTCCTATTTCCCCTATGATTCCACTCACTCTCTGTTTTCCTTCCCCAGTTTGTTTTCTTTTTGGTCCAATCAACATTTAATGATCATTAAGAGTAAAAAGTGAAAGATAATTTCTCCCTTTGGAAGTCTGTTCTAACTTTGTGTAGTGTGAAACACCACACTAGAGCCATTTGTCTCCTCACTTTATTAAAAATACATGTTCTTCATTGTAATCTTTCTGCTTTTAGTGCTAATGTCTAAGGGCACATTGGCTGTGGTAGATAATTTCAGGACAGTTTCTTGGAAAGATGATTAAGTAACATCCCTGTAGGAATTAAGTCATAGTAATTTTTGGGAGTCCTTGCAACATCATGGAAATATAAGAAGATGTTGAGCAGACCCAACAACAGGTTTTATCTTTAGAACATTTACCTGTCTACCTGTAAATCTCAGAAAATAATTTATAAATGGTATTTGTAAATACCTTTCTCAGATGTTGTTTCAGATGTTGACATTTTCACCAGACATGACACTCAAACATTAATGACTTGACCAAATACGATTGTTATTCATGTAAACAACAAAATGCATTTTCCTCGACTTGTATGGTCTTTACTACTACTATTCTCACAATATTTCAAGCTATTACATAAAATTAGATGATAGAAAATAATTCCACAAACTTTTTAGAATGTTTTGGAACTGATTAGTAAGGCTATTGAAAGAGCCAACTGTAATTACTCTAGCTTATGTTTTGCAAAAATTAAATTCCCCCACTGTTACATAGTCAGAAATGACAGCATAGATTTAATGCAAATCCTAGTAAAAATTATCTTCAACAAAAAATTGGAAAATTAATTCAAACCCCATAATTTTCAGAATGATATGCCCAACAAAAGTGCAGGTTAAGACTGTCATAGAAACCTGGAGCATAACAGATTCGTAAGTGTCTGATGAAATAACTAACATGAATTTACTCCTTTTCTGACTGACTTAATAGTGGGCTATTATGAAATAAGATTTGTAGTTGTCCTGATCCAGTGTCAGGGGAGGTTTCGATATGATCTCAAGAGCAAAATTAAGACACAAAAGAGGTCAAATGCTGTACACTCAAACCAGTTTTTATTATTAAAAATGAAGAGGGGTAGAGATAGGACAGAGTGGAAGGAAAAGACAGAAATCAAGCAATCATCCAGTACAGAGTTGCAAGAATGGTCACTACCATGGATCCAGTGGCATCCTGTGGGTCCTCAGTCTTCAGTTCTTTGGTGGTGAGTGTTGTGGAAAGGCATTAGCTGTCTTTTTCTATCTGCTAAGTCTCAGAAATGCGGCATTTCGATCACAGCTAACCCCTGCAGGAGGTTAACCTTTGCAGGAACAAAAGCACAAACGCCAATATGGTGGATGCTATTTTCAGTTTATTAACTGCACAATTGCTTTCTGTACATCGCAAGATCTTTAGTTCCCTATTCTTTCCCTGCATCACAAGATCTTTTCATGTGCCTCTATTTTTCCTGTACATCGCGAGATCTTCCGAGCGCCTCTCCCTAAACTTCCCCCTCCCCATGCTTTATCGACCATGCATCAGAGGTTGTATAAGACCGATGCCTTCCAGATCTTCCCTTTCTTTGTTCTGCAGCGGCGCCCACAAGACCCGTCTGAGAGCTGTCTCAATCAAGGGTTAATCAAACTTCAAGAACAAAGCACACTTAGAATAGTTCCACAGAAGGCTAAAACAATACAGCAGTTATGATTACTAAATAAAAGATAAGCTAATTTTGCTACTTGTAATTAAGGGATGTGACTAAATACTACAAAAATAAACAGTAAGGAAAATATGAAGTAGCACATTAATTAATAGAAGTACTAACGTTCACATCCGCAATTGCTAGGGAACCCTGGATGCAGCGAGAGTTTAGAGTGCCCTTCCTCACAAACTGGAAATCCTACGCGATGCGTCCATCCATAGGTGAGGCATCCAACGTCGCTGCAAGCAGGTCCAGCCTCTAAATCAACAGGTCAAAATAGCTGGCACCTTTCTTTGAGTGGAAACATCTGATTTCATCCTCCTGTTGGGTTCCACCCAGAGCCTGGCCAGCACTCCAGGGGGAAAACCAAGGGAGTTTCTGAATAAGGTTAAACACTTAAGCTCTTAATTCTTAATATTCCTAAACAAAGAAAGTTGAATATATGCATTTTTATAGCATTTCATTCTTATTAATAACTAAATTTCATCTAAACTACATCTTCCACTACTAATAAATCTAAATATTTCATTAAGGCAACTGTAGTGTGTTTTGTTCTGTTGCAGTAGCAAACATTACTCAGACATTCTGCTTAAAAGATCAGTTGAAGAGATTGCAAACAGTTGGTACAGGGGCATCCATAGCACCCACAGCTGGATCCTGAGAGCTAGCTGCCTCTCATACCTCAGGTATGGTTACCCACACCTTGCCAGTAATCACCAGGGACTGAGACCTGTGAACACACAAGCATAACCTCTTCCCCAGGCTATTAAAGAAAATGTTTCTATTTGTACAAAATCTTTCCACCATCTACTAATCTAACCTTACCAAATGTTTGTGGTGTTGCCACCAGAATTAATATTGTGGGCAATGGTGTTGACCTGTGATAGACAAAAGGGTTCTTTTCCTGTCGCATTTGCTATAGTTAACCATATGTTAGGTCTGGGTGAGATGGTTCGTCTTGCAAAGGATCCAAGTAGCCAAAGGCCACAGAAAATCTACAAAAACTTTTAAGTAGAAGTAGTTATTTCAGGTTTTATACATCGTGCAGGTATCCATTTAACTAAACCATCCTTTTCCACTGCTGCATACCCACGCCCAAACACTCTCAGTGACCAGCCCGACTCCCATGTCATTGGTTGCAGTTCCTTGATCTGAACCAAGGGATAGTTTCTTGTCGCCTGGGTTGGCATAAAGTGTTTCTACAGGGGAGGTGTGGACTTGTCGCCTCTTAACAAAGTGATTTAGAGCATAAAAGGCGCGGGACAAAAGAGTCTGCTGTCAGTCTATGGGTATTGTCCCCTTATGACCTTCCCCCTTCCCAAGCTGTTGCAGTTTTGCTTTTAGGGTGCGATGTGCACATTCTACTATTGCTTGTCCTTGACTGTTGTAAGGAAGGCCATGCACTAACTTGATGTCCCATAATGCACACCATTCTTTGGTACGTTTAGAAATGAAACAAGGGCCATTATCTGTCTTGATTTCTTGTGGCTTCCCTCATAAGGCAATGACGCTCTCCCAATGAGCAATAATGTGTTTGGCTGTTTGTTTGCGAGCCATCGTGGCTAATATTGTAGAGCTAAAGGTGTCAATGGTTACTATGAGGTATTTATTTGGTTTTAATAGGTCACATTCTGTTATATCAGTTTGCCATATCTGATTGGGAGACCCCTTGGATTGACACCTGCTTCCCACAATGGGCCCTTTTGACAGTAGGGACAAAGGGCTACTATGGTTTTTGCTTGTGACAGATAAATATGACATGTTTTTGCTAAGGTTTTTGCTCCGAGGTGCTTTGCAGCATCTAGTGACCATACACTCTGAGCCGCCTGGTCAGCATTATGATTGCCTTCTACAGTTGGACCAGGTAGGGATTGGTGACTGTTCACATGTATAAGAAAGGCCTGCCCTATGTGTTGTTGTAGAGCATCATGAAGTAAAGTTGACGCTTCTGTCTGTACAAATCCTACTGTTTTCATTTTGTGTACAAGTTTATAAACATATAAAGAGTCTGTAACAATATTAATTGGATTCTCTGTTTCCTGCTGAAGTGCCATCTGGACTGCTTTGGCTTCCAACCATTGTACTGATGAGTCCACAATTTCTTTTGCCAGCGTCCCTCAGCTTTCCATACAACTGCAGCTGTTTGGGATTGTGAAGAGGCATCTGTAAAGTATGTTATGCCAATAAGAGGCCTCATGACTAGAGGTAGTGTAAGTTTTAGCTGAAGTGCTTTCAAGTGGAAACCCATTGTAGACATCCATGTAGTGTACCACATGATGGTCAGTCTTACCTTCTCTCAGTGGTGTGATGGCTTTGGCCATGTAGAGCTGACAAATGACAGGTGAGTTTTTCATACCTTGAGGTAGTACAGTCCATTGCCAACGCTGAGCTGGTTGAGCGAGGTTCACAGAAGGCACGGTAAAGGCAAACCTTTGTTTGTCGGCGGGATGTAAAGGGATGCTGAAAAAACAACCTTTAATATTAATAATCACAATGGACCAATCTTTTGGTATGGTGGAACCCCAGGGCAATCCAGGTTGCAGGGCACCCATTCCTGCATCTGTTGATTTACAGCCCTGAGGTCATGGAGTAAGCGCCACTTAGTCTTATCTTTCTTTTGGATACGGAACAGAGAAGTATTCCAAGGGTTTGTAGAGGTTCCAAATGACCTGCCGGTACTTCTCTTTCTACTAATTGTTAAAGTGCACTTAGTTTTACTGAGTTAAGCAGCCACTGCTCGACCCACACAGGTGAAGAAGTTAACCATGTTAGTTTTAAGGCTGGTATGTGCTCGGCAGTGGCCTCTAATCTAAATTTGTAATGCCAATTTTCATTTGTTGCATGCAGTCACGGCCCAACAAAACTCCCTGGAAATTTGCTAATACTACAGGTTTGAGTATTGCAATCAAGACCCCTTTCTCCTGGTCTTGGATTTTAAATGTTGTGTTGGTGATTGCTTTGTACACTGTTTTTTCTCCTCTGACACCTGCCACAAATCCCCCAAATGTAGTTTGCCACTGTCCTGGCCACCATTTTTCGCCCACCACTCTTATATCAGCTCCTGAATCAATCATGGCCTGCAGCACTATTTCTTCTGTTCTTTGTGGGCAAGGCTGGCTCATCCAAACAGTGACATGGGCTTATCTAAAACAAGAGCTACAGTTCCTGGCCCTGAGGGACATCTTGTGGACAATTGCAGGCATACTTGACTGTCACTTGGGGAGTATAGGAGAAGTTGTCTCTGATTTTTGGGGGTTGCTTGCGGGGCATTGGAGGAGCCCGGCCCCCATTCCTGGCTCCTCCCCTTTCATTTCCTGTTGGAGAACGGCTTGCAGAGAGCAAGGCCATGGGTCTCTGCAGAACCTGATTGCAGCCATCTGAGGTAAACAAAGGAAAAAACCAAGGGTATAGTTTTGATAACAAAGGACTGTTATGTTAACAAAGAGAGAAACTCAGGTACATTATGACCTTGTGTATGATAAAGGAATGGCCTCGGGAAAGAAAGCAAGCCAGAAGAAGGAAGATGTGACATGCCTGAGATACCACAAGGGGCTGGGATATAATGTATATGTAAAAAGCTATAATGTAGCTTTTTACATGTATCCGATAGTATGCATGATGATTGTAGAGTGCTCATATAAAGTGTGATTTCTTTCAATAAAGTTGAAGCTTGCTCTATCATTCACATTGAATCGGCTGCTTGCTTCCTCCGCCCGCCACAATTTCCCTCATGTTTATACCAACAATCCCATGCCAATGACCTGTTTTGCTGCATACCCAGCAAGGTGCAGTTATCAAGGAACGTGGTTCTTGTCGCTTCATCCGATGAGATCTTTTATGAACACCAGAGAGGTTGTTTTTTCTATATGGTACAGGTTTTTCTGCAAGGTGGATGTCACCTGGGGCATGTATCACTGCCTCCTTCTGCACCACTTGTCGTAAGAGGGTGGCAATAGGTGTATTCAAAGGAATATCCTTTACAATATCCTTGATCATTAGATCAGATTGCTGTCGGATACATTCTATTACTACAGCTTCCTTAGCACCATCAGGTAAGTCTGATTCTGTGACCGCAGCGTGGAGCCTATTAACAAATTTCAAGAACGGTTTGTTTTGTTGTTGCTTAATAGAGGTCCACGGGGGTTCTGTCTTTTCTAACTTAGCTATATCCATGAAAGGTTTTTCACCAGCTTCAGTAGTGGAGGTAAATTCCCTGGGTCTGAGTTGTAATTGGGCAGGGGTTGTTGAAAATGCTCCCCGTCCTGTAAGGCGGTCAAAAGTAGTCCCACGTAAGGGGTGTTGTAGATCTATGGCTGCTTGTACAAGGTTATTAATACGAATGCCTCATGCTTCTTCCAAAGCAAGAACATAGCTGGTTTTAATATTGCTTTTGCTAACTGTCTTAGACCAGCTGGGGTTAGTGGTAAAGTTAAGATAGTATCCAATAATAAGGTCGTTTCCGGATGTCTCAGTCCATGTTCGTTTACTGTTTTAAACAACGCTTGTACTGCTTTGGCATCAAGAGGATGCCATTCTTGCTGTCCTGGCAGTAAACTAACTGGGTAAGCATCTACGATTGTAGGGTGAAGCTTCACTCCTAACATTACACAGTCTTTCGCTACGAGCTGCCAATCAGTAGGGTGTTTTTGTAAACAAGAGGAAGCAGCCCCGCCCAGGATCAGACGTTTGTTTCCTTGGGTGGAGGCTGACAGTGTGCGTACCACTGCCGTCAGTTCCGCTAGTCCGCTAGGAATTTCGTCGCTTCCTCCTCCGTTTTTTTCTCCTCCCTTTCTGGCAGCGCCCCTGTCTTTCCCATGTGATTGGATTTCGGACCTCTGTCGTCTGATTCGTCATCTGACTCCGCCTGAGTTTTTTGATCTCGCCAATGAGCGAACTGACTGCCTGACTGTTTTATATTGTAGGGGTCAGGAAGCTCTGCCACAGTCCAAGGTTTCACTTTTTTCGGACGAAGGGGTGCACTCGGAAGCCAGTCGAGCAGGGGATCCGGCCGGAGCCGCCCCTCTTCACTCTCCTGCTGTTTTTGAAGTGCCTGCATTTCTTGTTTTCATTGTTGCATTTGTTTTCTCCACTCCTCATCCTCTAAGTCAGCCGGTTGTATTGCGGCTTCTGCTTTTTGTGATGTTCCCCCAGGTTATATACGGGGGAGGGTGCGGGCGAACCAGAAGGGCTAGTGCTATTTCCGCTCCCTTTGTTCTCTTCAGGGGGTTTACGTTCTATGGGCCACGCCTCCCATAAATTGATAAATTCCTCATCAGAGGAAATATCTTCAAGGTCCTCTGTCTGAGTAACTTTATCTGAGGAACCTTGCAATCCTCTATGTGCATCATTAGATGCATGCTGTTTGGCTTGGGCGGCTTTCATCAATGCATTTACCTTATCCCAAGTCATCAAGTGCTGTGGATTTTCCTTTTTGGTCTGCTCTTTTAAATCAGCTTTTATCAGGGGCCATAGCTCAGGCTTCATACAATCCATCGACTCAGCCAGAATTCCGAGCTTTAATAATCTTCGTAGCATCTCTTTTAAAGTACTCGACTTCATAGAAGCCTTATATTGTCTTCCCCATATTTTTATTACCTTAATTGTGGCCTCCATGGCGCGTCATGGAGTCTCCCGTCCTGCGTGGAGCTCCTTCACCTCCTGCCGTGTACCACCGACAGCCACCATTTGTACACCGGAGTCACTACTTGTGGTAAGGCATTAGCTGTCTTTTTCTATCTGCTAAACCACAGAATTGTGGCATTTAGATCACAGCTAATCCCTTCAAGAGGTTAACCTTTGTGGGAACGAAAGCACAAACGCCAATATGGTGGATGCTATTTGTTCAGTTTATTAACTGCACAATTGATTTATATACCCCTTTCTCTACATCGTGAGATCTTTAGTTCCCTGTTCTTTCCGTGCATCGCAAGATCTTTTCATGTGCCTCTATTTTTCCTGTACATCGCAAGATCTTCTGAGCGCCTCTCCCTACAGGTGAGTGCACATGCAGCAAAGTTTTCTTTGTCTTTTCAAGTTCATTGTATCAGCTGATTAGCATATCTGCCCACCTTATTTTTTTTCCTCTGGTCCCACAGGTTTTTGCTGACTTTATCCTTCTTGAGCAATCATTGGCTTCTGGGGCAGAAATGCTCGCCTCTTACCAGTTCATTAGCAATGCATGCATGGTGTTTGGCCTACACAGTAGAGCCACAAATGGCTACATGATAGAGCCACTGATAAACATCATCAGTCTATGTCTCCCCCTTCGTGTCTTATCTATGGGGTTTGACAAAGCAACTGCAGGGGAGTAGGGGTGCATCCTTTGATACACTCCTGCTTCCTTAGACTAATCCAAAGGCCACAGCTTGTCCTTGAGGTTTGCACATATACAAGTAAGCTTTGGGACAGTCATTTGACATTTCAGTCTCTCACTGTAGTGAAAGATGAAAGAGCAGAAGAAAAAGTGAAAGTATGAGTTCAGAGCTAAAAGGTTCAAGTAGGAAAATAGAGAAAATCGTGAAATTATAGATTAACCTCAGTAGAAAATGGATTCTCTCCTTTTACCATTGAATCTTTTGATTAATGGTACAAATAAAGAAGATTTAAGGACTAGAACTTCTGTTGGAAACTATTCCATATCTGCAACTCCAAACCATTCTTGTTATTTATGTTATAATAATTATAATATTTGGGG